ATGGACTCTGAGAAACAAACTGAGGGTTCAAGAGGGAAGGGGGGTGGGGGGATGGGTTAGCCTGGTGATGGGTATTAAAGAGGGCACATACTGAATGGAGCACGGGGTCTTAAATGCAAACAATGAATCATGGAACACTACATCAAAACTAATGATGTAATGTATGGTGATTAACATAAGAAAATAAAAAAATTTTTAAAAACTAATGATTTAATGTATGGTGATTAACATAACATAATAAAATTTAAAAAAAAAAAAAGAATGTTCCTCCTAAAGACAGTCTGGTATTATGGAATTTGAACAAGACAGATACAGGTTCAATCCTCATTCCACACTGCTATTTAATTAAGGAATGTTACCCGGACTATCTGAACCTCAGGGATTTGCATATGTGAAATGGGAATAAATACCTCCCTTAAAATGCTGTTGTGAGGATATAAAGACACAAGGCATATAAAGAACCCGCAACATTATAATGTAAGCTCTCACCAAGCGCTAATTTCCTTTCTTATTACCCCTTCTTCTAGATAATTGGACAAATGTGATTAAATGTGTACTAAGGGGAAACGTCTGTATAGTAAAACACTAAATCATATAACAGCATCATAAATATTTCTGATAAACAAATTCCAGTTTTTCCCTCTTTTGGGAGAAATTTATATAATTAAATTGGAGAAATAAATAAAATACCAAATGGAAGAAAAGGTAGATGAAAATCAGTAAAATTTCAAAAGTGGAAAGCAATGATGTTTCACAGTAAAGTTATAACAATCACACCTCTTGGATGTTAGTTTTCTCAATAGAGGTAGTCTTCTTTCTATTTTCTAAAAAGTGATGGTACATTCTCAAAGACAATGAGCATGAAGTAACACAAAGAACACGCCGAATGTCAGATCCTTCTGGCCAGAGTTGCTTAAGCTGAGAAATAGTTTCACATGCCTGTCACAGAAGAAAACTGTAAATGTCATGATATTTAAAAAATATTTTTATTCATAAGTAATCTTACTAGAAGAAATCATACAAAGATATGACTATATAAAATTACAAATATTTCTGTTAAAAATGATAAAGAAAATTTTAAGATGGGAAAATACATATTTTTGTAAAATCATTAAAATTTAACTATGTAAAGAGCTCCTATAAATCAATAATAAAACATCTCAGCCTTTAATAAGACATGAGCAGATAATTCACAAAGGAAGTACAAATATTAACAAAATAGAAAAAATGTTTAACCTCTCTAGTAATAAATGAACAAATAGCATATTTTATTTATAAAATATATATAATATACATATAAATAAAAATATAAATAAATATAATATAAATAAATATAAATTAAAAATAAATATAAATTTAAAATACAAATATAAATAAAAAATATATAATAGTAGCATATTATTTACAAATTAACAAATATTAGAATATTCTAATGATAAAAGACAGCACTGTAAATCATGTGATGTGTCATTTCTCTTATGCTTTGCTAATATGAGTACAGATAGGTACATAATTACTGCAAAGCTATTTAGCAATACATATGATTACCATTAAATATATTGATACTTTGTGACTGGCTATTCAAGTTCTAGGTATCCAGGCTAGGTAAATAACACAAAATGTGTACCAAGATTTATGCACCAAGATGTTCATACAGAATTATTCGTAGAAACCAATTCTCAAATAATTTAGGTGTTTAGCATAAGGGAAATATTATGCATCCAATAAAAATAAAATATGTGAAGAATTTTTAATAACTCAAATACATGTGGTATGCAAGAAACACAACTTAAATAAAGTGACTCAGAAGGACTAAAAATAAAGGGATGGATAAAAGTATATGAGGCAAATGGTGGGGAAAAAAAGGAGGGAAGAGAGGCTAGCAATTTTTACAGCAGTCTAGGGAGAATTCAAGCTCAAATGCATTAAATGTGAAAAAAAAAAGCATTAAGTGTGAAAAAGAAACGCACTCTTTTACTCTAAAAGCCACAATTTATAATGGAGATGTAACCTTTATGAATGATTCATCTCATATGAATAATTATGAATAATTATGCAACATATAATGTCACAACCAAATTTACGATGCAAAAATTACAGGAGATTAAAGGAACTATATTCAGAAACACACTAATAATAACAAAATTTAATATACTACTTTCAGTACAAGAGAAATCAAGTGGACAAAAAACAAGCAAGAAGATAGATGACTTAAACAGCATAATCAATAGTGTAGATCCTATGAATTAAACTCTGGTGATAGAGAATATGTATTCCTCTTAAGTGCCCCAGCACATCCATAAAAATTGGTCATATGTTAAGTCACAAAGAAAACATCAGTAACTTCCATAGTGTAGAAACACTACAAACTGCTCTCTGATCAAAATACACTACAGGTAGAATTTAGTTTTAAAAATAAAAAGGCACAAAGACCCTTCAATCTAAGCTTAAAAACATTTTCTATAAAGCTACTCCTGGTGAAAGGGAAATACAAACAGAATTTATAAAAATGATAATAAAAACACTACATATCATAATTTATGGGATAAATTTAAAGCAGTGGCCAAAGGAAAATTCATTGCATTAAACATATTTAACAATAAAAATGACAGAATAAAAAAATGGATTAAATTCTTAGCTCCAAAAAGAAAATCTAAAAAGGAACAACAAACTGAACTAAAGGAAAGCAAATGGAGGTGAAAAATAAAGATAAAAGTATGCAAAAATTAAGAGAAAATTGGTAGATAGATCTAATTAATAAATCAAAATTCTAGGGATTTTTGAAAAACTTTAAAAAACAGACAAGCCGGGCGCCTGGGTGGCTCAGTTGGTTAAGCGACTGCCTTCGGCTCAGGTCATGATCCTGGAGTCCCTGGATCGAGTCCCGCAATGGGCTCCCTGCTCGGCAGGGAGTCTGCTTCTCCCTCTGACCCTCCCCCCTCTCATGTGCTCTCTCTCATTCTCTCTCTCTCAAATAAATAAATAAAATCTTAAAAAAAAAAAAGACAAGCCACTAGCAAATTTGATCATTAATAAGTGGGAGAAATAAAAAATGTACAGAATAAAAATGTAAAGATAAAATTACTGAAACAAACAATTTTTAAAAAGTCATATAGCCTACTTTGCAAACTTCTATGCAAATAAATTTGAAATGTAAATGAATGGATAATTTCCTCATAAGGATTAATTATAAAAATTGACCCCACTGGAGTTCCTAAGCTTAAATAAACCAATTTCCATAGGACAAATAGAGAAAATTAAGAAATTATCCCACAAAAAAGTACCAGTCCCATATGGCTTTATAGGGAAATTCTATTTTAATCTTCAAAAACCAGATAATCCCAGTGATCCATAAATTATTTTGGAATACTGAAAAGAAAAAGAAAATATTCTAATCTTTTTTTATGAAGCATGCATGACACTGATACCCAACCAAATAATTACAGTGTACCGAAAGAAAACTACAGAAAAGTATCACTCATGCATACTGATGCAAAAATTCTAAATAACATATTAGCAAGCAAAACCCAACACCATATTAAGAAAATAATACCATGATCCAATAGGATTTATTCCAGAAATAGAGTTGCTTCAATATTTAAAAATCCATTTATATCGAAATACCATATTAATAAAACTAATTATTTAAAAATCATAATTGTATCCACAATTTCAATACACACTCACGATAAAAACACTCAAAAAATATAAGTTGAGGGATACAGTCTTAACATCAGAATGAATCTATATATGCGTGTGTGTGTATAACGGGGAAACACTAGAGACATTTCTACTAAGATCAGGAACAAGGCTCACTGTATCTGTTACTATCCACCACTGTACCAGGTTTGTTACCTAATGCATCTAGACAAGAAAAGGTAATTTCAGGCATAAGAATGGGTAAAGAAGATATAAAACTATCACTGTTCACAGATGATGTGATAGTATATATGGATAACCCCAAAGAATAATTAAACTAATTCAAAACTTAAAATGTCAATGAGACATCAGCACAAAGAATTGCAACAAAAATCAACAGGTTTCATATGTATAAACAACAAAGAGCCAAAGAACACAATGGTAGATAAAATCTTGGAATAACAGCAAAATTTACTTAATAACAACAAAACATTAAATACTTAGGAAAAAACTTAACAAGAAATATACAAAACATATATAAGGAATTTTTTTAACTCACAAAAATAGACTAGAACAGATGCACCCCCTCTTCTTGCATGGAATAATTCAACATTATAAAGATGCCAATTCTCTCCAGTTTAATTTATAAATTCAATATACTCCAACAAAAATAACAAGATTTTTTTTAACTTAGACAAGTTGATAACAAAATTTCATATGGAAAAATAAAAATGCAAAATGGCTGTAAGAGAAAAGCTATACATGGAAAACCTAGCTAAACAATACATTAAAAATACTATTAAGTCTCTATAATCAAGAGTGTAAAATTTGCAAATAAACCAGAGGAACAGAGTAGAAAGTCCAGATTTATTTCCAAATACATATAGAAATTTAATAAATGATGTGGCATCTAAAATCACTGGGATAAAAGTGGACTTTTTAATAAATGCCACTGAACATCCCTTTGAAAAAATAAAAATTATATCCATATCTCACACTCTCTATAAGGATGAATTGCAAATAGATTAGGAATCTAAATTTTAAAAAATTGTAAGTATAAGAAGAAACCACAGGCAAATCTTCTTTTTAACCTTGATGTATGTAGGGAAAGGCTTTCTAACTGTGACTCAAAATCTAGAGGCAACAACACTTAACAAAAAGATTAATAAATTTGACAGTAAAAATTTTACATTGGGAGGGTATGTGCTATGGTGAGCTCTGTGAATTGTGTAAGACTGATGAATCACAGACCTGTACCCCTGAAACAAATAATACACTATATGTTAATTAATAAATAAATAAATAAAAAGAAGGAAAAAAAATTTTTTAAATGTACACAAAAAAATCATAAACAAAGTCAAAAGACAACTGACAAGTTGGAAGAAAATATTCATAAAATATATCACAAAGTGCTAATATCTGTAATATAGAGAAAACATTTAAAATTGAAAGAAAATAATGATACAATCCTAGAAAGAAAATTGACAAAACCTAAGTAAGCAACATATACACTTATCTTTTGACTCGATTCCATTTTTAAAATCTACTCTGTGGCTATACCTCCAATAATACAAAATTGCATATACTACAGATGATTATTATAGCATTGATTATAACTGCAAAATGTTGAAAACAAATATAAATTCTGTAGTAAGAAATTGGTTAAACAAGTTATAGTACATCTATATGAGGGAGTGCTATGCAGCTATATAACATAATGAGGAAGATATCTATAAATTGCTTTAAAATGATTTCTAAACATGCTGTTAAGTGTTAAAGGAAAGGTACTGAAAAATATCTATAATATGTGATCATTTATTTAAGAAAGATGATATAAGAAAATACACACATCTGCTTTTTTGTGCAAAAAATAGTAATAATAATGCAAGAAGGATAACTCTGAAACTAAAGAGAAAAATTACCTACAGAAAGTATTTGGGAAAGGGGTAACTGTAGAGGAGAATGGGATCAGAGTAGCAGGGATAAGAACATAGCGTCACTTCTTTGAGCATATCTTTTTTTATATCTGATTCTTAGAATCCTAAGTATGCTTCCTATACATTTCATATACCCTCCAAAATAAACAGGTAATTAAAAACAACCTAGAAATGGGTTGCAGGAACCCAAAGTGAAATACAAATACTAACCAATGAACCTAACTATATTAGTAATGAATAACAACCAAACTAAATGGGGTGTGCAAGAAAAGAACTAACCTAAATAACTTTGGAAAGCAGTGTTTTACATATTCTACGACTAAAGATAAAAAGAACTGCACATAAATCCTGTAATCCAATTAGTAAATGTGTTTCTCACAAGATATGGTTAGCAATTCTAAAACCACTTCATGTATATACTAGAATTGAAAAAATAAGTGAATATATTGTATGTAATGAGAGCTGACTTTCTCATAATTGGAGAAAGAAATTACAAATAAAGAAAGGGGAGGTGTAAAATGAAGGATATGAAGTTGGATTGGAGTATAAGTTATTGGTATGAATGCATGATATTTAAGATAGATGATAGATTAAAAAATAGACAGGCGTATATGCATGGCTTAGCATACATACATGTATTTCCTAGCTGTGTCTGCTAAAAAGTCCTCATAGCAATGACACCCCAGTAGAAATGAACAAACATAATTCCCAGATCTTGGCTTCTAAATGCTGTTTTCCAACAAAAGCAACCAGAACTCCTTGGAGAAGTGGTAAATTTCAAGGTTGAGGCAGAGAAAATACAAGATGAGAATGGAACATCTTGTGGTTTCAAAAAGTAAAACAGTGCTCAAAAAGATGGGGCCTGATGAATTTGAAGATAAATATACATCTGTGTAACCATCACCACAAGGTATGTCATCAAACCTCAATAAAGGGTTTTAGAAGAGAAAAAAGATGGGGAGGGGGGTTGGGCATGCAAAAGAGTGCAAACCTGAATGAGTCTCTAATGTTCAAACCTAGAACAATTTGAGCACCAAAACAATTGTAATATTGGACTTTAATCTATAACATAAAATATCCACTAGTCCATGCTGATATAAATAAATAAACAAGTAAAGGTCAGAGATACAAGGGCTCTCCCTTACAGGAGAATTCCAAGTAAGAAAAGTAGAAGGAAAAAGTGAAATAGAAAACAACCATTAGGCAAACAGATCTAGCAATAACTGTCGCAGACAAGATCCATTGATGGGTTCTAAAATTAATTGGCAAAAGTCTAAGAAAAAACAGGATTTGCAGAGTCAGGAAAGATAGTAACTTTATGGTGGAGAAGGCCGGAAGGCACCAGCTTAATCAGTGTTAAGACATCAACATCATGAACCCTTTGATATATTGTAAACACCAACTCACTGGCATTCTTGCCAAAAATACATAATAACCTCATTCCAATCATTAGCAAACATGAGACAAGCCCAAAAAAATAAATGACTGATCATTACCTTTCAAAAACATCAAGGTCACAAAAGACAAGGAAACATTGAGAAACTACTACAGATTGGAGGAAACTAGAGAAAAATAACTAAATGGATGTGGGACCCTGGACAGAATCCTGGAACAGAAAAAGGACATTCGTGGAAAAGTAAGTGAAACTCAAATAATGTCTGAATCTTGGTTAATAGTATTATACTGATGTTCATTTCCTGGTTTTGAACAATGTACTGTGGTACATCAGATGCTAATATTAGGGGAAACTGGGTGAGAAATCTATGGGAAATCAGTACTATTTTTGCAACTTTTTTATAATCAAAAAATTAGTTCAAATAAAAAGGTTTTTTTTTAAAGTTTAAGTACCTCTTCCATCATATTCTTCCATTTTATATTTCCAAAAAGAGATTCTAGTGCTGAAATTCTACATTCTTCCAATTGTTTAATCAGGGTTTTATAAGCACTCTCAATCTTCTTTTTATTCTGTAAAAGGATGGCAAGTCACATAAATTGTCACAAATAAAATAACTAATCACTTTCCAGCTGCAGAAAATCATATATTGAAGATATAATTGTTAAAATATATTTCCCAGTTAAAAAAATTACACAAATGTAATTACAGATCATCAACAATGCTTTTAAAGCCTGTCAAGCAGCACTATTTTGTTCTTGCTGAATTAATTTTTGTTTGGGAATTTAGTGCATTTTTTTTAACAACTTTATAAAAAGTATACTTAACATAATATAAAATTCACTCACTTTTTAAGGGGACAATTCAATGGTTTTTGGTAAAGTTACAGAGTTGTGCAGCCACCACTATAATTTAATTTTAGAACATTTCCAACATCTCAAAAAGAAAGAGTGTGTCATTTAATACATTATATTTTATTATGAAAAATTTCAAACACACACATAAATAAGGAATAGCATAATCTCCCCCCAGGTACCTATCATCCTGCAACAACCATTATCAACATATACTACATTTTTATTTTCATCTCATATAGTCCTCAAAGAGATAAATGAAATAACCTCTTTAAAATGAGTGTTCAATAAACTAGGAACTATATTAATATACTAGAAATAAAATCTAACACTTAAAAAAAATCTTCTTAAGGAGAGATTGAGAAAGATGTTTGTAAGGCACCCTTCAAACTCAGATTCAGAAATTGCTCTAACAGAATAAAATGAGATCAAGTGATTATAGTACCTCTTTCCAAATTAAAAATCAATCCCAGGGCTGTTCCTACTCACAGTAGGCAACTAGAGTTGGAAATAGTTTAATGACTGGAGTTCTAACTAAAGCAAAATAAATTATCTTATCAGATTTCATGACAACCATCTGGATGTCTCCAAATACCATGAGGGTATTACTATTCTCAGAGTAAAGAATGTTAACTGACTCAAAAATCATTTTGATGAAATACAGCATTATCTTGGGGCGCCTGGGTGGCTCAGTCGGTTAAGCGGCTGCCTTCGGCTCAGGTCATGATCCCAGGGTCCCGGGATCGAGCCCCGCGTCGGGCTCCCTGCTCAGTGGAGAGTCTGCTTCTCCCTCTCCCTCTACCTGCCTCTCTGCCTACTTGTGCTCTCTCTCTATCTCTCTGTCAAATAAATAAATAAAATCTTTAAAAAAAATAAAAAAGAAATAAATAAAAAGAAATACAGCGTTATCTTCATATTTAGAATTCACTATAAATAGTGAAATTTGAACAGAAACTAGATTTATTTATAATATCAGTATGCATTTTCAACTCCCAAAAGTTCAATAGAGTAATTGACAAATATATCAATCCAGTAAGAGTAAGATCAAGCAAGGAATTAAATTCTAAATACTTCAAAAGTTCTATTAATGGTTTAATATTATGAAATAAACATTTCACTTATTTTCCTTCCTCATCACCCTTCTCCATTGTTTTATTAAAACTACCATATTAATGACCTCACTGATATGAGGAATTCTTAATCTCAGGAAACAAACTGAGGGTTGCTGGAGTGGGGGGTGGGGTGGGAGGGATGGGGTGACTGGGTGATAGACATTGGGGAATGTGTGTGCTATGGTGAGTGCTGTGAATTGTGCAAGACTGTTGAATCACAGACCTGTACCTCTGAAACAAATAACACATTATATGTTAAAAAAAGATAGCAGGAAGGGAAAAATGAAGGGGGGGAAATCAGAGGGGGAGACGAACCATGAGAGACTATGGACTCTGAAAAACAAACAGGGTTCTAGAGGGGAGGGGGATGGGAGGGTGGGTTAGCTTGATGATGGGCATTAAAGAGGGCACGTTCTGCATGGAGCACTGGGTGTTATAGGCAAACAATGAATCATGGAACACTACATCAAAACTAATGATGCTATGTATGGTGATTAACATAATAAAAAAATTTTAAAAACTACCATATTAAAGATCATTTCAGTAGTATGTCTCAGCAGTAGAGGCATGAGTTTTTCCCTCCAATTTAATGCATTTCTGGCCTTCATTAACTTGGAGGCAGCATACCATATAGTAGATAGTCAAGTAAGGGCTGGAATCAGACTACTTTTCAAATCCATGCTCTATTATTCATTTAGTGTTGATGATGAGCAAATTGCTTATTCAAGTATCTATTTCCTCACCTGCAAAACACAGGTGATACTAACACCTAACTTAAAGGGCTGTTGTAAAGGTTTTAAAAAATGACTCATGAGAAGTACCAATCACTGTTGTTATTACAACAAGTTCTGAACCTATGACTGCATTTGTATTATCCTTACCAATTTTCTAGATTTCTCTGTTAAGCTTATGATAATTTCCATAGAAGTGGCAGAAATAAAACTAAGTCAAGTAACATGGAAAATTTTGTAAAATTCTAAAAGAAATTTATCTTTAGATGTCAATTACCTCTTTGAAAAATTGTTGGTTTTTATACATGCTTGGCATAAGGTATGCATAAAGTCGAAGAATATCAGATGTTTGCCCTGAGGAAAGCACAATGTTGACCTTCATTGCCCAAGACTGAGTAATTAAAAAGTTGAAAAGGTATGTTTGTAGATGGTTCAGGCCTTCATCGGCAACTATCAGGTAATATGGGTAACTGTCTTCCAAGAAAATCCCCCACTCCTGTGATAGGCATCCAGAAAATTTTGTTCGAACATCAATGCTGGTATTATGCTGAAGATGAAGAATTAAAGCAGTTCTCAAAGGAAGAAGTTCAGGGAAGTTGAAATATGCATACTCAGCATCCTGTGGGGAGGGGATAAAGTATATTCTTTTGAAATTATCATTTAATTGGTTTACATATATCATTAGTCATTAAAGGAATATGTTCCAACACAGTTTTGTTCTGCTTTATAGTCAGGGAATAGACCCTTAAGCCTTGACCGTCATTTCACAAATACATGCCATAAATCATAATTTGGATTTAAATACATACATCCCCTTTAAGGAGGCACATAATAGTCAAGATTTATCATACTTTTCCTTCCTATTCTTTTCCTCTCCAATATCACCTGAAAAAGAAAAAGGACAGAAAAATATGCAAAAGCAAATGGTGGATATAAATTATCCAGAACAGGAAACCAAGGTGAATCACTTTGAGAGGATTGTTCCAATTTAGTATGATCCTCCTGAATCGGCAGAGGTTTTTCTCAACAGATCAGAATTAGTGCAGTAAACTAGACTATAAACATTAGAATCATGGCTCTTTATTCAAAACATTGCTTGCAAGAAGTTAGCAATGTTTAAAAATCTAGCAATACTGTAGATTGCAAAGTGAACAGACACACGCCAAAATCCTTAAGAGTAACACACTGGTTACCTTCAGGACAGGATAAGGAAGAGGTGGTAGTGGTTATACCTATCTGTAGTTGAAACTGTTAATATTTTACTAATTATATTCATAATTGGAAAAGGAAGACAAAATATATTCCCTCAGAAGTATTTACTATAGAGCAAATAATAAACAAAGTAGTATTAATGAGTTTGACATTTTTCTGGGTTCAAATAAATTGACTGCTGAGTTCTGAAGACAGAAGCAGTTCTCAGAGTTGGAAAAGCAGAATCCAGAGATCAACTGAGCTTCCGTTGAGGGGATTTCTCATCCTCCTTCATGACCCTGTGTGTCCTTATATGAAGTTTAGTTATTGAGAATAAAATATGCTCTTTTTTTAAAGATTTTATTTATTTATTTGTCAGAGAGAAAGAGAGCACAAGCAGGGGGAGCCACAGGCAGAGGGAGAGGGAGAAGCAGAAGCAGGCTCCCCGCTGAGCAGGGAGCCCGATGCGGGATTTGATCTCAGGACCCTGGGATCATGACTGGAGCCGAAGGCAGATGCTTAACCAACTGAGCCACCCAGGCATCCCTAAAATATAATCTCAAATATGGTAATTTCTGAATACTTGGATTATGAGTATTTTTTTTTCTGTTCTTCCCTTTAAATTTTCTGAATTCTTATAGATATATTTAACTTGGTAATAAGGAAAAAAATATAAAACAGTAAGGAATTTTAGTTTTAGTTCTTAAATCACAATAAAGAACTCTACTGTTACATGTTACCTTGAAGAAAACTATGGCAAATTGTCCTCCTTTACTGATAAGATCCATAAGATAGCATTCAACCAGATAGAAGAAGTGGAGCTGCTGCCCTGGCTTTAATGATTTCTCACATATGCATGTAGCAAGTAATGAATCTCCATCAATCAGAAAAAATTCAGATTCAACAAAATCATTGAATAAACTGGAATATCTAAAATGAAAGCAGTTAAAACAAAAATTACATATCGACTCAATAAGGCCCAAAAAAGGCAGTAGCATTGTTATTATTATCCATTATCACTATCACCAGCAAGTAATTTGTTGAGTAATTATTTTATGTCAGGCTCTATGATAAGACTTTTCAAGTATATCCATATGCATGACTGTCCTTCATAGGAAGATCATTCCTATTCTATAGATACAGACACTGAGGCTCAAAGAGATAGAGCAAATTATGTAAGACCACGTGTCAAAATCTGGATTGGAATCAGGAATTTAACACCTCTATTCTGCATACAGACCTGTATTAAATGCTTCCCACTTAATCAATCTTATTTCTTTATAAAACAATAGGTTCATTGACAGCTGTGTACAAATAAAGCAAGAGAAAACTGTGTCCATTCACCATCAAACAGCTTGAAAAGTTCTGTTAAAAATCATACATATATATATAATTATAGATATAATATACTATAATATATACTGAGATGATAGACTTTACTTTTTTTAGACAGACATTACTTTAATATCAAATAGATATACAGGAAATATGATATTGAATTGTACATCTCTTTATTTCTTACTACAATACTCACTCAGCTTTTGGCACTGCACTCAAAATCAGCTGTGACATTCTCTCTAAAACCATCACGTGTTCTTCTAAATCTGTAAAAAAAGATTGTTTACTTATTATTTGAAAAAAGAAATAACAATAAAGTTATTTTAATTCTATTAAATTGTGTAGCTTAAAGAATCATTATTTTATAATTTATAAAAATTTTAAATTGAAAATTACCCATTCTTGCTGCTCAACCTGGGCCTCGAACCTGAACTGGAAAATATTAAATATAGCAAATATCCTTTACTTTGGTACCTCTAAGCAGCAATTATTAATGAAAATGACAGACCTACAAAGAAAGAAGAAAAATTAGAAATTCATTTTTTCCATCAACAGATAGTATTGAATAACTACTGTATATTAAGCAAAACATCAGGCAGTGAGAATACAAGAATGAACAAAAGACAACATGCGGTCAGTTATGGAGCTTAACCTCCACCAGAAAGACAAATATTAATTGGATAATTATATAAACAATGGAAAATTACAAATGTGACAAAGTCAAAGAGAACAGAGGAAGCTTCCCTAATGAAGTAATGCTTGAGCTGATTTCTGAAGAATGAAACAAGAATTAATTAAACAAAGGAGTAGAGGAGAGTAGCATTCCAGGCAGAGGGAATATCAAAATACCATCTACAAAAGTCTTATGGCATGAAGGAATGTGGGTGCTACTAGATCCAAAATAGAAGTCAGCAAGGCTGGAATGGAGAGAGTGAGGAAAGAGCTAGCTGTGCTAGAGAGTTCCAGAAATATAAGAGCATGCAGAGCCTTTGAGGGCATGTTTTCATCCTAGAAGCCATTGATGGATTTTAAGCAGGTAGTGCTATGAATGGCTTGACAATTTCAAAGATTACTCTGGCTATAGTAGAGAGAATAGATAGGATGGGAGCAAAGTTCTGTTACTGGAGCAGAGAGAAAAACCATTGTCCAGAAGGGTAATGATCACAGTTTGATGTAATATAGTTTGTTGATAGTTTGGGGAACTTACGGATATTATATATTTAGAAGGTAAGTTTGACATAATTTGGTAATGGATCTGATATGGATGGAGAAGAGGGGGTACTGAGTGAGGGTTGTCAAGGATGATTCTTAGGATTCTACCTGATGCAACAGGATGGAGGACGAGGCCATTCCCTGGGCAGGGAAACCTGGAACAAGCCCACATTTCAGGGAAAGATCATGAATGCAAATTTGTGGTCAGCCTGAGTTTGACTTGATTTCAAGACCTATCATAGGATATGTCACAGGAGTAATGAAATATACAGGTCAATGGGACACCTGGGTGGCTCAGTCGTTAAGTGTCTGCCTTCGGCTCAGGTCATGATCCCAGGGTCCTGGGATCGAGTCCCACATTGGGCTCCTTGCTCAGCAGGGAACCTGCTTCTCCCTCTGCCTGCTGTTCCCCCTGCTTGTGCTCTCTCTCTCTCTCTGACATAATAAATAAATAAAATCTTTCAAAAATATACAGGTCTAGAGGTCAAACACAAGGTCTGGGCTAGACCTGAATATGCAAGTAATTTTAATATTATTGCAAACAAAGCCATTGATATAAATAAGCTTGCTTGGACAGAGAGACATAGTATCATGGAAGAAGAAAAAAGGACTGAAAATCCAGTTTTGCAGATCACTAATATATAATAAATGTCAACAGAGAAGAAGAAGCATCTGCAAAGGTAACTGAGAAAGAACTGTCAAAGTGGCAGAAGAGAATGCACTTGAGCATTCTGTCAGAAAAACCAAATATTGAGACATTCCTCAAATATGCCATACAGTGTGTTAGGGCAGTGAAACTTGATAGATGGATAGATAGATAGATAGATAGATAGATAGATAGATAGATAGATAGACAGATAGATAGTCATATTATATGACATTAAGGAAAATATAATGGTGAGGCATACATTGATATTAAATATTAAAATAACAATGCAAGGAAGTTTATGACTGTAAAAATGAGTAAGCTTAAAGAAAGAAGAAATTACTGTGGGCTGAAATGGAATGTTTAGGAAACACTTAATGGAGACAGGGGTAAAAGCATGGTCTCTCACTTAGCTAGTTATTCCTCCTTTTTTCAGATATATAGAACATCTACTCCTCACCAAGCACTGTACTTGCTGCAACATATGCAAATATGCATAAAACACGGCCCTTACAATCTGGTAATGGTTTAAAGAGAATTAAATCAAAAAGTATAATGTGCTGAGTGATCCAGCAGAAATGGTACAGGAAACTATTAGAGAATTGAAAGAGTTCTTCAATCAACTGGAGAGGTCCTCTGTTCTGAGGTTTTAAGGACACATTGAAAAAATGTGGAAGAATTATGGAAGCATTTTGGAGAAGGTTAAGAGATATACAGGATCCCATTTCAGACAACAAAATAGCACTGGTTTAATGCACAGAGATATGAAACCACATAACAAGTTTGATGCCACAGACTGTTCCACATGGTATAAAACAGAATGACTTGGTTGGAAATGAGACAGGAAAAGTAGGTGTAGCCCAGGTTATAAGGGGCTTTTGCCCAGGCAAGAAGTTTAGAGAATTTCCTGAAAACCCTCTGCCATCCAATTCATGCAATCCTCAACCTCACTAATTGCACATTAGCCATATTGTCTTCCTCAGTTCTCCAAATTGTACCAAGCTCAAACAGAAAAGATGAGTCAGTGAGAACTGAGTAAACAGGAGAAAATTAACCCCAAGTATCTTATAGAAGGAAGAGCTCCAGAAAAGGTAGGGTCAGACTGAATGAAATAAGATGAAACAAGGTAATTCATAGATTCCCAGATGTTCACAATGCCCTTAATGTCTCAGAAAAATTTTTATGGTACTCCTAGGACAAAATAAATACCTAATAGTTTATTTATTAAGTAGTTAGCTCCAAACAAATTAATAAGTCCTAACAAAATCATTTGAAAATAGAATACACATAAATTGAAAGAAAGAACACCATTTTTAAATTAAATAACAACAATTACTAATGAGGGCACCTCGGTGGCTCAGTCGTTAATTGTCTACCTTCGACTCAGGTCATGATCCCAGGGTCCTGGGATTGAGCCCCGCATCGGGCTCTCTGTTGCGCAGGAAGCCTGCTTCTCCTTCTCCCACTCCCCCTGCTTGTGTTCCCTCTCTCACTGTGTCTTTCTCAAATAAATAAAATCTTTAAAAAAAAAAAACAATTACTAATGAGACATATGTGCCTATTATTGGACACTACAACTTTTCAACAAGAGCCATGGTGGCAGAATAAAACCCTTCTCAGTTTGACAACTAAGGGATTCCACAGCCTGCCTGCCTATCTCCTCTCACATATCTTACAGGAAACTCCTTATGAAATTTCACCCTGAATTCATGCCTCATTTAACATTTACACAGAATTTATATCACTATGCCCAGTTCTTTCTTATTTAAGGGAGAGGCACATTAGAGAAAATAAAACCAACTACCCATCATAATAACCACTGAATAAATGTAAATGAAAAAATTAGAATCATTAGATATTGGGGAGGCTATTAAGAAGAAGCCAGATGAATAAACATGATTCAAGGACAGAATAGTCCTTTAAAAAGTTCAAATTAGCATCCCAATAATTACAATATTATCTAATACAACAATAACAGACTGCTACAGAAAAAAAAGTAAATGCTCATAAAAATTTTAAATATAATTTCAGGAAAAAATCATGTGCAGAGTAATAAAATGGACATGCTGAAATCTTAAGTTGGAGATCTAAAATCCAGGAAATTTCTTTTTTTTTTTAAGATTTATTTATTTATTTATTTATTTGAGAGACAGAGAGAGCATGAGTGGGGGGAGGGGCAGAGGGAGAGGGACAAGCAGACTCCCCTCTGATTGGGGAGTCCGATGCAGGGCTCGATCCCAGGACCCTGAGATCATGACCTAAGCCGAAGTCAGACACTTAACCAACTGAGTCTCCCAGGCAACCCCAGGAAATTTATAAGACAGAAGTAAAAAACAAAGAGATGGAAAATAGAAAACAATATTAAGAAATACAGAGGATAGATTTAAAAGTTTTAAATTCATCCCACAGTAATTCCAGAGGGAAAAAACTAAGATTCTAAAATGAGTGGAGATAAAAATAACCAAAGATATAATATTTAAAGTCATACAATAATATTGGAGCACAGTTAAAGTACACATTTTTAGACTGAAAAGTTATTCCAAGTACTAAGAAGAAATAATGACAAAAAAGAAACACACACTTAGAAATAGCACCTTCAAATTGCAGAGCTCTAAGAGCAAAGAGAAAGATGAAGATATGCTGCAAAGAAATGTAAGTAAAGTGGTTAAAGGCATAAGCATTATTGGCAGAATGCCTAGGTTTTAATCCTAGTTCTGAAACATACTATAGTTTTATAATCTTAGGCAAGTTATTTCCTTTCTCTATATCTCAGTCTACTCCTCTATAAAACTGGGACAGACAATAATGTTATTTTCCTCTGGCTGTGTTTTCTAGCTTTTTTAATGTATGAGCTGATGTATACAAATTGATGAAAATAGTACCTGGCACACAGAACTGAATAAAATGAGGAGCATCTTTGGATGTTTTGATAAAAGAAAACAATGTTTGCAAATTTCCCAGGGGAAAATATTTTGAACTTAGAATTCCGTATCTAGTCATTCAATCCATTAAGAGGGCAGAAAGACAATATCACCAGACATTAGAGAAGTCAGAAATGTCACCAACCACCTATCCTAAACGATAATTTTATTTAAAGAGATGATACAGAAAATTAGCCGGGGCGGGGGGGGGTGGATTAAGCATATGACAGTCAAGAAACAGTGAAACTACATATGATCCAGAAAAATTAAAGGAAGCTATAAAGAAAAATAGGAGGATCCATGATACTTTGAATTTAGAAAAGTATCAATTTCAAACAGCAGTCTAAATGATAACTACATTTCCAAGCCAAACATATAGATTGCTTCTACAATGAATAACATAATAAATAATTTTATAACTTGTTTACTTGGCTTTCCATTTTTGATTCAGCTAGAAACAAATCACAAGAATTAAAGTTTTAAAATATTGTAAACTATGATAAACCTTGATAATATAAAAATAATATAATAACCAAATTGGGAGATTCAGAAAGGGATGAATAGAAGAAAAAGAAGAGTGTATATTAAGTCCCTTGTTTTTCATAGAAGAAAGCCCAGAGATAGCATCTAAAGATAATACATCAAAAATTAAGGGTTTCTGCAATCAAGAAGTTAAATTGCCTTTCTTATATAGGTACTGAACCAATGGGGTACCAAATACTATAAATGGGGAAATTTTATTTATATTTCTATTACAATTTCTAATGAATTAATAGATCTTGCTATTTTGAGATGATAGCACAACAAAAATACAGGCAAATATCTACTTCCATGTAGAACTACACCATTGTTGAAATACTCCAATCAAAAAAATTTTTTTAACTTTAATTTGATCAAAACTCTAGTAGCAACAATTAACAAGACATTTATAAGCTAGAGGAACCTGTTAAGTGATACCAGGAAGACTAAGAGAATCTCTACAAGATGGAAAAAGAGAAAGGGAAAGGGAAGGGAAAAGGAAGGGAAAGGATCCCAATTTATTAATAAATAAATTACAAGAGGAAAAAAGAGATTAAGACAAACTTAAAGACATATCACCCAATCATAGTAGTGCCAGAACTCTATTTGGATTCTGATTTAAACAATCTTTAAAAGGAAGAAGAGAAGGGTAAGAAAGAGAAATCATAGATTATTGGAGTAGATACAGTCCAATTCAGAGAATAAGGCCCAGGGAATGATGCAACCACTTGATAGAAAGACTCAAGTTCCTGAAACACTGTCTGGAGAAGAGCTGACCAGCAATGGACAGAATTCTAGACAGCCTTCAAAACTCCAGCCACCCAGGTGCACTGCCCTGTACAATATCCTCCCCTTGAGTGTGGTTAGGATCAGTGTATTGAATGGGATAGTCTCTCCCATGATTAGGTCACATTATGTAAGACTCTAACATAGCAGGAGACAGATTCTCCTTCTAGCTTTGAAGACAAAAGCCGCCACAGTCAAGAGCCAACAAGAAAACAGGGAACCTCAGCAGGAGGGGAAGAATGAAGGGGGGGAAATCGGAGGGGTAGACGAACCATGAGAGACGATGGACTCTGAAAAACAAACTGAGGGTTCTAGAGGGGAGGGGGGTGGGAGGATGGGTTAGCCTGGTGATGGGTATTGAGGAGGGCACATTCTGCATGGAGCACTGGGTGTTATGCACAAACAATGAATCATGGAACACTACATCTAAAACTAATGATGTAATGTATACGGATTAACATAAGAATAAAAAAATTAAAAAAAAAAAGAAAACAGGGAACCTCAATGTCATAGCTGCAAGGAATTGGATTCTTCCAACAACCTGAATGAGCACCCAGAGCCTGGACAAGATGGCAGGCTCAGCAGACACCTTCCTTTCAGTAGGATGAGATGCTGAGTAAAAGGATTCCATTAATCGGTGCCTGGACTTCTGATTCGTGGAAACTTAAAAATAATAAATTTTTATTAACTTATGCCACTAAATTTGCAATAATAGGTTATGCAGCACTAGAAAACTAATGCATGCCCCTTCACCATGAATACATTCTTTTAACTGCTTTTAAGAAATAAATTATTGTATGAAGCCACTGAAATGTAGGGGTACGTAGGAATCTGCGAGATACTAAAATGCAGATTCCGGTTCTGCAAGTTTGTAGTTGGGCATAGGATTCTGCGTGGAGTAGGAAGCTGCTTGCTGCTGTCAACGTCTAGATTTTATTGTCCGTGCTCAGATCTGACCTCTCTTAGTTTCTCAAGGCCCCAGATCCCCAGCACCCTTTCTTTCAAGAGGACCCCTTAAATGCTTGAACACTCGGCCCTCTCCAGACTTTAGACCCCGGCGCTCCTCACCAGCATCTCTTTCCTTGCCTCTCCCCAAGCCTTGCCTCCCGCGGCCAACGAAGAGATCCGTCCACCACCACCGTTTCCGGGGGGCGTGGTGGCGCCCACAGCAACCCGCACCACGAGCCCCGCGCGCCCAGAAAGGCTCCCGGGCCGCCTCCCGCTCCGACCAGAGAGCTTGAACCCGCGCGGGACATCTCCACTCCAAGTCTCTCCCTTAGTTATACCTGTCCTCTTAGAGCCCGCTCCGCACACCCAACCCCCGCTCCCCGCTCCCCGCTCCCCGCCCCCAGCTGGGGTCCTGCGTCCGAGCACCTCCCACTCCCCACCCCAGACCTCCCCCGGAGTCGGGCCCCGGCCTGCTGCGCCTGAGGAGCCGCTGACAAGCGCCTGCCGCCCGCCGGGAAGAAGAGACCAAGAGGGGACGAACCTGGAGCCCGAGAGGAAGCTGGGCGGAGGGTCTGAACCCGGGCTTCTGACTAGCGGAGCCGCCGCAGCCAGTCTTTTATACCCTGGAAGGGAGTTTTGGTTTCATTTCTCCTCTCAGGGACGTCTCAGTTTCGTTTTCCTTCTGGAAGTAGGTAAGACAGTTTTCCAGAAAAGTGAGTTTTAGCCTCCTGCTCTTCAATCCGAACCTTAAGAGATAGCAAAAACAATAATATGGGCTTTGGAATTTGGACATAAAATAGAGGAAAGTGAGGCAGAGACATCTGGGACCTCTAAACATAAAATCAAGAAGAGCTGTTTAGAAATAGATGAAATGTAAGGGTGTGGAATCTGAAGTTCTACCGTGAGAGGTGGAGTCTTGCAGTTCCATCTTAAAGCAAAAAGAAAAACAAAAACAGTATAGAAGAATACATGAACTCGGAGTTTCCATTATGAGAAGCTAATGATTACTGTTCTGTGTGAACTGTATTTGGAGCTTTCCTGGGTCAAGAAATACCATTAAAAATTAAATTGAAAATGCAACATGCTCACGTTTATTTCTGCCTGAATGTTATTTTCACTAAATATCTGCCTGTTGATATCTGCAGTTTGGGTTTTGACACTAGCCTCTCTTTCTTTTTAGTCTCTTAGTGTGCTTAATTCCATGTGCAAATATATTGGAATTCTAGGAGGAGGCAAGCAGAGGTGGCAGTGGATTTGGGTAATCTTAGCAACAGGAAGCCACAACTGCTTTGTCTTCAAGGAGAGTAAAGAACAGATGTGCAGACACTGTTCCACAGAGAAAACAGAACAGACAGAGCAGTGAATGACATATTTTCTGGTCATAAATTGGAGAGTCAAGATGTTAAAGAAAAAGGTAGGGATGGAGAGGGTGAGCATTTCTCACACCTATCAGGTGTCCATTCATTCATTCACTTAATTGCAAATTTGTGATGGTGTTTGTTGATGATGAAACTGAGAAAGAAAATTAAAAAGTTTGGAACTTGACACATGACTGGTCTAAAGTTATACTATATTCATATTTGTCCTTCACTAACATCTCTAATAATAGTAATATAATACCCTTCCTTCCTCCTGCCAAGAAGCCAGTGTTCTAATTCCTGTAACCTGTGAACATGTTAAATTCTCTCGCAAAAGGTACTTTGCAAAACAAACTAAATAAAGGATTGTGAGTTGAGGAATTATGCAGAATAAACCTGGTGGGCTCAAAGGGTCCTTAAAAGAGGGAGTCAGGAGCAAAGTGTCAGAGAAGGCAAAGTGATAGCTCTACACTGCTGGCTTTGAAGATGGAAGAAGGGCCCACAGTTTAAGAAGTCAGGTGATCTCTAGAAGCTGGTAAAGGCAAGGAAATAGATTCTCTTGTTGAGCCTCTAGAAGGAACCAGTGCTATCGACACCTTGACTTTAACTTCGTGAGACTGATTCTGGACTCTGACCTTCAGAACTGTGAGACTAAATTGTGTTGTGTCAAGCCACTGAGTTTGTTCTAATCTGTTACAGCACCAATAGGAAACTGATACACTATTGTAAACTCATATAATAAGAAACTGATAGCAAAAAAAAAAAAGAAAGAGCAAGAGAGAGAGAAGAAGAAAGAAAGAAAGAAAGAGAAAAGAAAGAAGAAAGAAAAAAGAGAAAAAGAAAAGAGAAAGAAAGAAAACAAGAAAGAAAGAAAAGAAAGAGAAAGAAAGAAAAAGAAAGAAAGAAAGAAAGAAAGAAAGAAAGAAAGAAAGAAAGAAAGAAAGAAAGAAAGAAAAAGAAAGAAAGAAAGAAAGAAAGAAAGAAAGAAAAAGAAAGAAAGAAAGAAAGAAAGAAAGAAAGAAAGAAAGAAAGAAAGAAAGAAAGAAAGAAAAAGAAAGAAAAGAAAGAAAACATATTTGCTAGGAGCAGAAATAATGGATTTTGTTTTAAGAGGCAGCATTAACTGAGGAGGCTACTGTATGCTAAGCAATATGCTAATATCTTTATATTTATTCTTACATTAATTCTCACAACAATTTCATGAGCTGTGTACTATTTTGTCATTTTATAGATGAAATAAATAATCCTTAGAGGGATAACACAGCTAGTAAATGGTGCTAAGATTCAAAATCTGGTCTAACCAAAAGGTCTACCTACAGTCTTCTCCATTACATGATCTCAGACAAATTCTTCACATTCTACAGCTGAAAGCCTTTCACTAATAGACAAATGATTTCATTTTGCTTTCTGTTTTGGTTAAATTATTGAGATAAGTTTTTTAGTGTACATAATATTTTATGATTGTTTTGATTTTTATTGACTTTAAATTTATCAAGTGAAAACTCAGTAAATCATGACCCAATCATTTTCAATTTTCCACCCCTCTGTATTTAGACAACACACAAAAACTCCAGTTTTTCTTTTCCACTTCAACAACCTACTGACACCTACTCCCATGCACACCCTGGATTTTGTCCAGAATCTTAATCATCACAAACAGAATCACAAACTACATTTCTACTTTTCAGACCCCTCCCTTTTACTTCCTGCATTTAAGCTTTTGAGACTCCTGAATTTTTGTCTTATCAGGATGACCCTGTAAGTAAACATTTCAACCTTCCCCTAAGTAACATGTACAACCGCTTGAGCTTATTGATTTTCCTCTACACTTGTGCCTGCAATTGAATAATCTGGAATAATTCGAAAATTTGTTTGTTTCTGGATACTGAAGAAAATGACCAAGTTTGTACCCCATCAAACTGTTCACAAACACAGCTGATGTCTTTTACTTTTACCCCCAAGCCTTTTGCCTATTTTACAATGATGGTTACAATCATATAGCACTTTATATTCTCCTCAAGTTCTTTCTGATGACAGAATATCTCTTTTTTTCAATTCTCTCTCAACCTTAGGATAATTCCATATACCATCCCAGCTTAGAGTCTGAGAAGAATACACCAGGCACCACCCATACCCAACATAACTAACCCTCTATGATCTGGATTTGGTTCCCTCCTCAAGCATCTCAGTCCATTTTTCTTCAGACTGATGTACCCACAACTTCACCCAGTCAACTAAAATGTACTGTTCATTCCACTAATAGACTCAGGTCTATTTTAAAATAGTAACAAAAATGATCTCCTGCTCCATCTCATACCTTCCCTTTTTGGCACAATACCCTTTAGTGATGTACACTTTAGTGGTCTATACTTCACGCTCTTCCAAATCCTCAGGCCCCTTTAGTCCAGATGTGCTCTGAAATTGCTGTCAAAGATCACCAATGATGATCCAATCATTGAGAAATCTAAACCTAAACAATGCTTGCTTAATCCCATTTACTTCTCTCTCTCTCTCTGAAATACTTGAAACATTTTTAACCAAGCTCTCTTTTCCATAGAGCCTCTTTTCTTTTAGTTTACAGTATTCTTCAAATCTATTTCTCTTCCTACCTTCTCTATCAAAACTGGTGGAATTATCACCTAACAACTGTTCAAGTGAGAAGCCTGGGAATCATTGCTGCATCTTCACCTTCCTCAAATCTTAGTGAACTGGAACCCTGCTAACACTTACAGAATCTGAGATTTCTTCTCTCTCTCATTTTCCAAAGGCTAGAATAAGCAACACCATTTCCCATCTAGGTAACTGGAAGAGCCTATTTCCTTCCTGACTCTAGCCTGTCCCTCCGTTAAATAATTTTGCTGGCTGGGGCACCTGAGTGGCTCAGTCAGTTAAGCATCTGACTCGATTTTGGCTCAGGTCATGATCTCAGGGTCTTGAGATCAAGCCGCCACATCAGGTTCTGTGCTGAGCATAGAGTCTGCTTGAGGCTCTCTCTCTCCCTCTCCCTCTGCCCCCTGCCACACTCTCTCTCTCTCAAATAAATAAATCTTTAAAAAGGGATAAATAAATAAAATAATTTTGCTGGCTGACAAGGAAGTGAATCTGTTATGCAAGTGCAGCTATTCTGGCTGATAAAGGAACTATCCAAGTAGGGAACCCTTCTCACCAGATATGGCCACAAGAGAGGAGATATGTCCCAGGGGCAGAACTCATGGAGCCCTGGGAGGTACAAAGAAGTCAAGATAGTGATGAGGTTCAGGACATGATGCACAAAGATATGGCACCCTGGCATACTGAATATGTTAGCTGAAAGAGTTGAGAGCACAGTAGAAGCAAGCAGATCACTCTGACCTCCCCCACACCCTTCTTCCCTGAAAGCAGGAGATAAATCTCCTGTGAAAGGTACTTTCCCCCATCTCCCAGTACCAGGAAGAAAGAAGATATCCTTATTATCAGACACAAGAAATTTAGGGCCAGAAAGGCTGTATAACTAACTTTGTTATTTTTTCACCATTTATTACCCATAGCCCAAACACCTTTGACTTGTCAATTCTTGACATATTTATTGTTTGTTTGTCTAAAATGTATAAAAGCTTCCTGCTCTGGTCACTTCTTTGGGTCTTTATTCTCTTGTGAAGGTTTCCATGTACATGTAAAAATTCAGTAAGATTTGTATGCTTCCCTCCTGTTAATCTGTCTTATGTCAGTTTAATTCTTAGGCGCAGCCAGAGATCCAAAGAAGGTAGAAGAGAATTTTTCCTCCCTTACAACAACACATGAAAATTTAGGCCTTACAGTAAAATGCCTTGACATCAATTGAAGCTGTGGTGATGACTGAGACTTTAAGGAAAAGGAGAAATGCATCCCTAGGAAGCAAAGTAGGTACCTGACCATGAGGGAGAAAACCAAACAGAGAGGTGATCATTGAAAACATAAATTTTAGAGGTGCCCCTCTTTATGGCCAACAAAGGCAGCTGAGGAATCTGTGGGGCACTGATGGAGGGAGCACATGTCCCCAGGAGGTATGAATTTAGTTTAATAAATGACTGTGGCAAAGGACCCCACTGGGAAATCCATTTGCTACTGTTTAATTAAATAAGAGCTCTTTGAAGAGTTCATTGGGCTTCTGAATTAAACCAATTAAATTGACTGCAAATGGCATATAAGGAAGGTAGAAGTTCCATTGAATGTTTTTTTAAAGAGCCCAGCACTATGCTTTCTAAGATGTGAAATGAGTCTTCACTCACTATCAGT